GGCAAGTTAAATTGGTAAAATTAAAATAACTCAAGATTAATATTGAAATTATTAGAATTACCTTAATAATTGGTCACAATTCTAACGACATAATTGGTGAAGCAACAGTCATGACATCATGCTTACACCAAAATTTTAATCGGGGTTAAAAGTTAAGGGCTTGTTTGTCCAATTTTTATTTTACATTTTTGTCTCATTTTACCTCTTAAACACAAAACCAAATACACTATCCAAACAATATTTAAACTTACCTTTTAAAAAATATTCAAAAAATTATTTTTACACAATTTTCATCCACCACCACATCGCCGGATCGCCCCCTGCCGCCATCGGCCGTCGGCGGTGACGAAGGTCGGTGGTGGAGGTGGTAAAAAATAATATTATTTTAATTAAAAAACTATCCAAACAACTTTTTAAATTTTCTCTTAAAACACATTTTAAATCACATCTCAAACTCAAACCAAAAAACTAAAATAAACCATCATCCATACAAGCCCTAAAACTCTTATTGACTAATTGTTTTTTTTTTTTTTTTGGGTTTGGGGTCAAAATTCCTTCGAACTAAAGGACATCGTTTTGTTATCCTCCTATTAATGTGGGATATCCCTCTTATATATGTCGGACCAGAATGGATCTCTAGATCGTTAGGAGATTTACTAGAAATCTTACAACTAGTCCAAGAGTTCCTTATTTATGTATTGTTATCATCCTTTGACCATTGAAAATACTAGATTGTCCCTCAAACTTTCTGAATGTCATAAGATTATTAGATACAACCGGATCTTATTAGATGCAACTGATCCACCATATATAGGTGGATATCCCATGTCGTTATAGGTTTTTTGCCGTAAAATATAGAGAATTTTTTGTAATTTTTGAACACTGAACTTAAAAAACATTTGAAATTCTTAAATAATTATAATTAGGAAACGTGTCATATATGAATTTATTGCATTCAAATAAATATATGCAATGATTAAAATGCATCGGTGTACCCTTCGAACAGACAAAAAACTTGGAAGCCAATAGACAATGAAATATATTAAACCGTCGTAGTTGTCCATTTTCTGAGAGGATTGCATAAAATTGATTGACCTTCTTGAGTGAAACTGTGGCTAGAGAACGATGTTGTTAGTGTCTCCCAGCACCAGAACATCATGAGGTTCCAAAAGGTTGTCTTCAATTAATTTAATCTAATTGTTTTAGACATCTTTCCTCCTTCATACCAAAAGATTAAAGAAAATAAAAGACATTAGACTCGGATCAACAAAATGCATCCTTGTATTTTTTAAATTGAATTGAAAATAAATTAATAAAAAAGATGCATTATAATGTTCATTATAATGTTAGATTATGAAACAGGGAAGAATAGAAAGGAAATTGTAAAACAAATAATGCTCTAAAAAACACATCGATTGATGTGTTTTAACAAATTGTGAGTCGTTCGTGTTTTATAAACTTTATAGTTGATTATTGTTGATTTCTCATACTACTTTTTAAAAAATATTTTTATTGTATGAATTTTACAACTGAGGACAAGGGTTGTGATGCTAAAACAATTTAGAAAAGAAAAAGGTAGGATAGCAAACTACTCTTCAATTTTGTTCAAATAAGTCTCTTAATTATACAATTTCATTATCTTTAAAATTGTATTTTCGAAATTGGATTAGCTAAAATCACATTACACACAACAAATGGTAGTGTAAATTACATCACGAAAAAAGATTTAATGATTAACACGTTATAATTTTAAGCATTTATGACATATCGTAAACCATAAATATAATAATGTGTTTGTGCAATAATATGATTTTAAAATCTTAAATTTGGATATAACACATGTGTGTAACACACATGGTTAAACCTAGTAATAATAACAAAATAATAAGGTGTTTGATAAGTATTTCAAAACTGATACTTTTCATACATAATTTCTGGGCAATATTGACATCTTTTCATACAATATCCCAACAATGTTGAAAAAGAGAATCTGAGAACTTGTCATTGTCAAAGCGCAATCGATATTTAATCCAAAGACAGTGTTCTGAACTTTCTTAGGAGTAGTGAATAGTTATGCATAATAGTTTTTAACAGTTTAAATGTAAAACAATAAACACATAAAAGTTATTTATTACTACTTCTTGCTTTGATTTCTTTGTTGTTTTTTATTTTATAGATCCATATTTTACGAATAATCATAGAAAACATACATAAATTCAGTCAATTTGATCTAGAACACATGTAGCAAATGTGTTAAAAAAAAAAAAAATACAAAACACACTTTGATATTTCACTTTAGGGAACACAAGTGATTATTTTGTATCACGCATCACTGAAATAATTTTATAAAGGGCAAACTACATTTTACCCCCCGAGTTTTGGCCCTATCTACCATAAACCCCCCGAGTTTTAGTAATACTACTATATACCCCCTTGACTCATAGTCAACTTACCAAATGCCCCCTTAACATATAACATCATCATGATTTTTTGTAAATGGTCAAAAATACCCTTCAATTCATATTTTTTAAATTATATTATACTCCCTCCGTCCCATAATTATTGTCCACTTTGCCCAAAAAATTTTGTCCCAAAATTATTGTCCAATTTGACTTTTTATGGATCAAGTTACACATTTGTCCTTAGTAAAAAAACATTATCCATAAAATCTTAGTGGTTAAACAATTACTTATGTAGGGGTATATCCGGTTGTTTAAGGTAAAATATAGTTAAATTTGACCAAAAATAAAATATTTCATTTTAGTAAAACTGGACAATAATTATGGGACGGAGGGAGTAATATTTTTAAAAAATATATATCATAAATTAAGTTTAAAAAATATGGTCCATATTAATCATTTTATTTTGATGCACTTCGATGATATTTTGTTTTGAATTTAACTATATTATATCTTTTGAAATAAAATAATCTTCATTAATTACTATTTTTGAAATATAATAAACTTATATCATTAATCATGGATTAACTTTCTCATTAACTTATGTTATAATTAAATGAAAAAATTATAAATTAAGTAAATTTCATTTTTCATGATAAAAAACAAATAAAAACAAAGTGAAAAAATAAAAGAAAATAAAGTGTATGTAAATGATGGTTATTTTAGTCATTTAATATTTATCCCCTGTCCAGGGAGTATATGGTAGTATTATCAAAACTTAGAGGGGTTTTGGTAGATAGAGCCAAAACTTCGGGGAATGTAGTTGGCCCTTTTATAAATGAAACACTAATTTTGGCATCTTTGATCTTTTATTCTTCAATAGTAAATGTATTATTAGGGGGGAAAAAAAACCTTGTCTTGATATCAAAATATACTTTTAAGTGTATTAATTATTTGTTTATAGACGAAAGAGTACATATCTTATATTTTGTATCATTGAGAAATTGGAGTTGATCGAGTTCAAATAGATAATTAATCAAGTATATATTAAGTCAAACTTTCATAAATTTACTATATAAAGACAAGACATTTCAATTTTGAAAATTTGGACACATGAGCTTTTCATCCCTGAAATATTTCTTGATTTGAATATAGTTCTGAAACTTTTTATTTGTTTCAAATAATGTAATTCTCTACAACCGAATTTAAAATTTCTTTTATTGTTATCTTGAATATTTGGATTGGTGATTGGTAAACTATGGTTTCATAACTAAAAATAAAAAACAAATATTTACCATTATAAAGTATTTTATTTTATTTTTAGATAAAAAAATCCCCGACTAATTTAAGTCAATGCATAAAATTCAGAATTAAAATGAAATCTAGAAGTAATACGAGGACCGAAAAATTTAGAAGTCTTTAAAATTGTGATGATAAATATCTAATAATAGAATGAACGACAAAACTAGTCATTAAATATTGGAAAATTTCATTACAGGACATTAATTAAATTTATTTATAAAACAGAACACTTTACTAAGACAAAAATTTATTTGAATTCATTATGTTCTTTTTGGACGTTAGAGGGTGACGGAAAGCTATTTTTCACATTTATAATAAGTGAATTGTGCCCGGGGCATTTTTTTTTTTTGATATTTTTGATTTTTTTTATAATTTTTAAATTTGGATTATAATTATTCTTATAATACTTATTCTAATATTTGTTGGTACTAGTATAACTACTAGATCTCAATAAACAATTTACTTTTTAAATTCTATAATTGCTTATATTATTTAGCCATCAAAAAAATTAATAATAGTAATTATAATGAACCAAATAATCATTTTATGATAGAATAAGAAAAATTTGTACTTCATAATTAATCTATGTACAGGGATTCAAGGAGAAACGACTTGCCTTAACAAATTTTTTAGCATGTGTTTTTCTTTTTGTTTAAAATAGTAAACTATTAATTTTCATATTTACTTCAACTTGAAGTTTTCTTTTTAATTTTCTTTTTTTTAAAAAAATTAATAATTTAGAAGTTAAAATACAAAAAAAGTAAATTAATTCTTGAAATTTAGTAATTATATTAACATCAACATACAAGTTAGTAGTTTAAGAAGAATTGTTAAAATAATGAAAAATTAAAAATTATTTTTTAAAAAAAATACAAAATGACGAAATTATTCATAGACCCAATTCACATTTTTTACATGTGAAGAATAGATTTATGTCACGTTTAGTTCGTAATATCATTATCATAGTGACTTCTTATAAATATGAATATAATAATTATATAATATTTTCGAGCTCTAAAAATATTAGATGTGGCTCGAGCTCATACAAATAACATTTGTATTGTCTCAAACAACAAATATAAATTTCACAATTAATAATACTACTAGTAAAAACTAGTATTCACCAGGTGAAAGTTTTAGGACAGTTGAAAGCGTGAATCATGCTAATCGAGGAAGAGCGAAAAAAGAAAGGAGCGATGTAAATGTAACCAAAAGCGTGAAGCATATCGCAAAATGGACATCAGGAAAACAAAAGAATAAAAAAGAATATTTTGAAGGACGTCTTAGGTTATATTCCTCCTACGTTAATAAAACTCTCTTTTTATGCTTACAACACAAAAACACGCACCCCCACACTCTGTTTCCGTTTGGCGCCGCCGAGCTTCTTCTCTGCTCTCTTCTCACATTTTTTCGTTCTGCAGCTCATTCGTTCACCCTGCCATTCCAAAATTACAGGTGCTCTCTTCGTTTTTTTTCTTCTGCATGTATTTTTCTCTGCTTAATTTAGTTTAGATGTCCATTTTTTTTTTTTTGGGTTCCCCTTGGTTTCTGTTAATTGAGTTGGTTCTACTGCTTCAAGTTTAAAGTGGCTTGCTTTCTTGCTCCCAAATGATTCTTTTTTTCTTCACATGCATGTAATTGGACTTTTTGTGGTTCTGGGTTTCTAATTTCGTGTTTTGCTGTTTGAAGTTTTATTAATTTTAAATCTGTTGTGTCATGAGTGATGTTTGTGGGTTTTGCATGCTTTGGTTGTTCCTCATTGTTGCTTATGAATGTGTATTTTGTTCCTGTATGCTTTTTGAGTTCTGTTAAGCTCTGTGGTTTAGGTGGCCGTTCAATTTGATTGTTGATTTTATATAGCGCTATTTCCTGTTCCGACCAATCTTACTCGTTTTTCTAACCAAAGTATTGGGTAGTTGGAGCTTTCTTCATTTTGGTGAATTTTCTGAATTTGTTCTGTTACCTTAAGGCCAGACATTAAGTGGGATATCCTGGTTCTTGGGCGTCTAAAAGTTCTAACATTTACTGTTTCTGTGTTTGTAGCCTCTTCTTTTCTTTTCTCTTGAAATCATTTGCAACTATCGAACCATTTCACTGAATTTCTCTTGAGTATTTGAATAGTTGTATTTGAAAAAAAATCGAGTTTTTGTCCGTGGTTATATTTAAAAGAAGTTAGTTAAACTGTTGTTCTTATTCTTTTGTAACATGTACAGGATGCAGATTAAGATCCAAAGAATATTAAAATAATCGGGAGATATATGGCTATACTATGATGCACAACTTTGAGCTTGTTTTATTTGTGATAATATTCTTTACTGAGTTAATTTGCAATTTCTAATTTCTTTTCGACCTGCTCCTGAGTAGTTTGTGATAGCAAAGTCTCTATGACATAAAAAGAAATTTTCTCAAACTGATGTAAAAAAGAAGAAAGAGAAATTTACAACTTATTTTTAATGCTCAGTAACAGTAGGAAACACCTATAATCATATGGGAGCTCATTTATTTGAAGTGGAAATAGACAAAATAACTATCTAATCTCTTTTATAACATGCTTCTCTTGCATTTCCTTCAAGGCTCTGTTGATGATGAGTTTGATTCTTTTAAAAGTTTTGGGATTATTCGTTTATCTGAACTTAAATGGAGACATATGTTGACATTGTAGAATGTGACTTATGATCCATGTAGCCTGCCCCATGTAGTGTTATATGGGCTAAGTTTTGTTGTATATTGTTAGAGTACTAGCACAGAATCTGCTGATCTGATTTTGTTGAAGTTCATTTTTTGCTTGAAATTTTAAATGGTTGATTTAACAAGGAGTTGAACCGGTTGATTCTATTTTCAGGTTGCTGGGATCATTTTACTTTGTGGATGGGTGTGGGAAATAAGATAAAGTTGATGAAAGGATGGGATCATGACTCCTGCTCAACTGCCGCTGGAGTTTGATTCATATTGCATTGGAAATCGCCTCACAGATAAAACATCTGTTGGGAAGGTTGGTAAGAACTGTAGAAGTCCAGATACAAAAGGCCTAAAGTGCACTAGCAATTTAAAGGCTTGCACCTTTCCAGTTAAAGATATGTTGAATCAACAAAGTAAATTCCTGAAGGGAACTGACGAAGGTGCAGTTGACGTAATCGATTCCAAAAGGAATCTTGAAAACAGAGTTTCTGCAAAAGATGATCCTGATGCTACTGAATGCTCAAGCTCATTTGGCAACAGTACCTCTGGGGATGAGAACTCTTCTGGACTAAGTGATGCTGAAGTTGAGTCACAACTATATGACAATGGTGGTTTAGGATCTTCATACGATGATGGCCTGAGCAGCTTCTTTCCAGTAAGGTGAGGTCTTGTTTCTGAGTGATATATTTGGATTTCCATTTTTATCCATGCAGATATGCTTCCTGATATAAGTTTCATGCATTTTCTTATGCATCATTTCAGTAACATGTAAGTCATAAGTAAGAAGATTCTATGTTGTAGTCAGCTATCCTACCATGTTCCTGTTAGAATATCACTTATACTTTGAGCAGCATAAATCTCAGTTGGCTAGTTAAAATGCAATAAAGTCCTTGAAAGCGCCTCAAGTGTACTTTCAAGCTTTAACAAAAACTTCAAGCATACTTTGAGGCAAGTTATATAGTTGTAAAGATACACTTTCGTAGGCCCTTGGGGAGTACACTTGAACAGGGAACTAAAGGTTGGCCTTAAAAAAAAAATGCATATTGTGTAATTTGTTTGTTTGAGATTATATTATTTGTGCATTGTTTCTGTTCTTGTCATTTCAGATATTTCTTTTCTAAATATACTGCTACCTGTGCCATGTGCAGCATATGATTATCTTTATGTCATTTTTCATTTGTTATTTGAATGATCCTTCATAATGCATAAAGAATGAGGAGTTCAAATTTGACTGCGGTATTATTTAATTGGTATGAAGTCTAATGTTGTTACCAGATGTAGTTGTTTACAATGACATCAACTGTAACTTTACATTCTGTTAGTGATGAGTCAAAAGTTGTCGGAAGCAACATAACTACATAGAGAAGGGGTTTTAGACTTTTGATGGAGAACCTAATTTATGCTTTTTGAACAAGTGATTTCTGTTTATTTAAGAACTGCGAGGTTTGCAAAAAATTTTGTGAAATACTTGTGCAAGGAAAAATTCTCAATTCCATGAATTAAGTACCATTGCAGCTATATATCATACAATGCCCATACGATATATCTACTTTGCTATCAAGAATCCTAGAGTTGACAATGTTGATTTGTGGTTCTTGTCACAGTTGCCATGTTAAAGTATTCTCGATGCACGGTCATATCTGTGCTTAGTTCTGAGGTGGTGTGTGTCTTGTTGGTGTATGATCCCAGTGCCTGATTGGTTTGATTACAACTTTTAAATATTAGACATACCGCTCTTATATCTCAGTAATTGAACCATAGAAAATTGTATTAAGATTTACTAAAGGGATTTTTAAATCCTCCATTGCAACCTGTATCTTCTGCTTTCTGTTTCCTTCAAGGTACTGATTTGGTATAATGCTGCACAGTCTTATTTGTATATACTGTGTCAGCAAATATATTTCACAAAGTTTTTTGAGGTGTTACAGCATGTGAAACAGTTAATTTTAATAAAAGCCAAACCTTTTTAGGAAGAAAAAGTTGACCAGTCACTGGAGAACCTTTATACACCCTCTAATGTGGAGGTGCAAATGGGCAGAACTGAAAATAAAGGAGTTTGAGTCTATGGCTTCGGAATACAGTAGACGGATTCGTGCATGTGACCTTAAGAAGCGATTGGCCTATGAACAATTGAGAGTGGAAGAATTTGGCTCGAAATCATTACCATATACGCCACGAAGGCACCGGAAAAAGCCCTTAAAGAGGAGGAAAAGAAAGAAGGTTGAATGTATAACGAATACGACAGAATATATGTCTCGTCATAATCTTTTCTCCTATCAAGGTATATGCCTTTTACGTAGTTCTTACTGGTATGTTGTGTTTTTTATTCTTGCAAATGGCTCTAATCTCAGTCGTGGCCTGTGGTATTCAGAAAGCAAGAGGAATGATCAGGATGGGAGTTCAGCTGGTGATGATTTTGGGAACCCTGGTAATTTTTATTGTAATAAAAGTATATATTCTGTTCAACATTGTCATGAAGCTCGAACACATTTTTCGTGTAGAGATAGTTTCCCAGATACTTCTGGATTTTTTGTGTAGGGCTAGGCTGTAGTGTAGGTAACAAATACAAGCTGGAATGAAGTTTTCTATCCATGTCACAAGCCATATCTCTGCAATCTAGAATTTTGAGTTTTTGATATCATTGTACCCAGTTCAGTTATTAATTTTCTACCACTCTCTGAATGTATTTTCTTGCAGTCTTTCCTGGCCAGGATCTTACTGGCAATGATGAGTTTGCATACACTAATGATTGGTTAACTCAAGAAGAAAATAGTGATTTCAATGAAGAGATCTTTCGTAAGATTGATTTGGTACATACTCGAGTTCAGAAAATGAAATCCCAACTCGACCTGATAATGACGAAATATGGGGCTAAGTTTTCTTCATCTGAGAGTTTGAGCCACCTTGTGCCGGGTGATCTGCCAAGTAGCTCTGTTCGTAGTCCTACTTTCTCTGCTTGCAATGGAGACACAATGTCAGCCGGTGGCTTATTTTCATCCATGCAGCAGATGTCAGAGTATGATTTAGGAGACTTTGTCATGCCTGACACAACAGTTTCTAGTTATGGAGAGGCTGTCCTCATTCCTGATATTATTGAGAGTACCGTAGGACTTCTATCCTCGGTTGATGTGACCCAGCATCAGGCACACATTACTGATTCATGCGAAAAAGTAAGAACCATACTTCTTATTTCCCTTCAATTCCTTACATTCACATGCAAACATCTGTTTTCCCTCAAACTTTGTTACCTTCTACTTCTGCTGTATATTTTTAGTAGGACCAGGACCATGTAGCATGTTTAAGAGTACTATCCCACCTAAGTTTGAGAATTTTAATTTGAGTTCTGGCATGTATGGATGACATGTTAGTTATTAATTGTATTCTGAGCATTCCTAATGCTTTTAGTTGGCCTGGTAAAGTAGAGACAAGTGAAGATGCAACTAGGCGGCAAAATACTACTAATATTTTTAAGTAACCACTACTTTTGAAAGGGGAATGTAGATTCCCAGGGGAATTTTCGCTGCGATGTGAAACTTGTTTCGTTTTGTCGTTCTTCTATGTGATTATGGCAATTTATCATGCCTGAGCTCTCTCCTTTGACCCAGCTGCCTACAACATTGAAAGACTTTTGGAAGGGCTAAAACCACTTTTCAGGGAATTAGCCTCTTTCCAACTAATCATGCATTCGAAGAAGTTCCTAAATGTACCAATTTTTAGTCTGTTATATTTATCTGTATGGGATCAACTGTATATGTTCCCATGACGTCCAACGTTTCTCATGGCTGAGATTATTCTTGAGGATGTAGAAAAGTATGTTACAATGGTCTCACCAGTTATCTAGTACAGTACAGTCAAGTCTCATACATTGTCATACCTGAAGTCCAGCTTTCTCCTCTTGTTTTTGCTCTTCGTTTGGAATGAGAAATACTGCTGCCGTTAATACCATTTAGCATTTACTGTCAGTCATGTCTGATTTTTGTTTTTTTGTTTTTTTTTGAAAAGGTCATGTCTGATTTTTGTTGCCTTGACAGACAAAAGATGCACTTACTTCTGAATTTGTTCGCAACTAGATATCTTATAAAACGTGAATGTGTACTTTTTAGATCGTGGACAATATCTTTATCCATAATGAAGCAGCTGAAATGGAGTTGAGAACATTCAAACAGCCTCACATTGAGTCCATGGAGAATCATCAAGATGCTGATGGTAGTGGCGATGAAGAAAGTACTAACCCAGTGCTTCCGGTGAAAGAAGAAGTAGACAAAGATGTAACACATGACATTCATAAGGAGGATTTAACTCTTAAATCAGGCTTAGTTTCAGAGATTCAAGTTCCGAAGAATAAAAGAAAGCGGGGAGAGCGCAAAGGCGGTTCAGGTGGATGGAGTCGCCAACTTCCTGGAGAACCTGATGGCCAGACTTAGTCTCCAAGCATCACCTACAAATGCAATCCCTGTTTGTTTCCTTTAGCCGTGGAATTTGAAAAGATTCTCCTCTGCATTTGTTCGGACAACAATGTTCCCGTTACCCCCATGCTTCCCGGAAGAAGTAACTCAATGACAGATTTAGGGTAGTTTTTTGTAGCTCAAGTTCTCTTCTGTTTGTAGCCATGATCTAATCCCATTTTCTTGAAGATGTAAATTAGCTAGACTATAGCCTTTTGACTGCCAGCAAAATTTAGTTAGACCAGTTTCTTTTTTTCATGTACTTTTCAAAGAGCCGTTGCATGGGTTCTGATTGTTACCACTGTTTCATTAAGCTCAATTTTGAAATAGTGTTCCCTCCTCCTTTAAGAAGTGTGGAATCACTATTGAGATTTTTTATTTTATACTTTCACATTTCACTTTTGAATAACTACTTAAAACGTAATTGTTTATTCTGCATTTTTGAAACGATGCAATATTCTTAATTATCAAATATAAGTGATCAAAAGGGTCTAATTAGCCAATGCTGTAGATCTCTATATACAGCAAAGGTCAACGAGCCAAAAGAATAAACAAATTTAAAATAAGAAAAAAAAAAAAGAGGAAAGAAAAGAATAAACTCCATGATTGTTGAAACTTGAAAGCCCACGCACACGCATCAGCAGCACCTGAGAAACAGATGTGTTTTGGAATTTTGCAGGCTTTTAGAGTACACCACACCAAATCAGTGTCCCAACTGAGACTCAGAGTGTTACATGCTGAATAATGTCTCTTAGTTGTTGTTGCAAGTGAACATGATGATTTTTGCTCCAAAAAAAAAAAAAAACATGATGATTACAAATCCACCACTTCCTGTTTGGTGCTTTTGCTCAACATTTACATTATATAGATCAGGTTAAAAATTATCTTAGGATGAGTTGTAATAGTTAGGACGTTCTTCTTAATCTAATATAGGTCCTCTTTTCCGAAAAAAAAAAGGTTAAAAAGTGTATTCAATCCAGGCATGTATAAAAAATATAACTAATTTAACTTCTTTTCTTTTCTAAAGCAAATTCTCTGTATACAGTACATATATAAGTAGCGTAGATATACGAGGATTATAATCACAAGATTGAGGATTCAAATTGGGTCACATGGAAACCTGATTTTTGTTTGATTAGAGTCATGTTGGTAATCCCACCAAAAGCAAGAATTGTCTTTCAACTTTAACCCAAAATTTGAATACACAAAACCATTGATGAGAGATATAAAATATACTCTGTAATGTGTGTGTATGTGTAAAAATACACCAACAGGAATCATGTCTGTCAGCCAAAGCGAAAAAGAGAGTATGCAATAAAGAAACAAAAGTGGGCAAAAGAAAGAAAAACAAATCAAAAGAAATCCGTATTGCCAACCCATCCCCCATTGATCTAAAAATCCTTTCAGCTGACGAAGAAAAAATTTGAAGAGAAAAACTGAAGGGGGGTTCCTCATTTTCTGCTCTCAAATGAGCCACTTTGATGCTCTGTCTCTGTTCTTTCTTCTTCACCTATCTTCTTCACCAACCTAGTAGTATTATTACCATATTTTCTGCTGGTGTTTTTGTTCATGCAAGATCCGAAGAACCCATCACACCCGAGGTTAGAAATTTATACCATTTACTCATCTTTTGTTTGAATTTAAGCTAAAGTTTCAATCTTTTTTCATTTTGGGTTCCAATTGAACTGTTCTCTCTGTTTTGGTTAAAGGCTTTGTTGTAGTAGTAGTAGAGTAGTATTGCTTTGATTTCTGTTATCTGAATTCTTTGCAAAATCTTAAAGAAGAAAGTTAAGAGCTTTACTTGTGAATTATGAGTGCCACAGAATTTGGTTCAGTACTTCAATCTAGTTTTCAAATGCATCCCAATTATTATGTCACTTTTGCAAATTCGATAGTTCTTCCCCTCGATCAGTTCCCTTTTGAATTTGCCATATTTATGGATGAACAACCACGGTACTTCTTCTTATGTTTCAAAATGATTATTATAATTCTTTTCGTTTCAAAATAATTGTTTAAGAATTGCACAATATACAGAATAATTATTTTGGGATAACAAGTAGTATAATTTTGGACAAAGAATTAAAGGAATAACATTATTGTTTTCTACAACAACAACAAAAAAAAACAAAAACAAAAACAAAAAGAAGAAGAAATTCCCTTTTGGTGCCAACACACTAGAAATTCTTAATCCAAGTGGGCCTAAACTGGGCCAATTTTAATATCATTACTGTTATACACTCTGGGCTTTTCAATGGCTTGATGTGAAAACTCAATGTTATCATCATTGGGTTTTAGGTTGATATTATGATGTTGGGCTTAGGTTTATATAAGTCCTCCTACATTGACTAGTCTTTGTCAGTTCTGGTTTGTGAACAGTTCCTTAAATGATTTGGTCATATGCATCTTTTTGCCCTATTTATCAGGAAAGGCTCCATAAAAGGTCACTTCATTTTCAACATTGATGACTTGACCCAGTCCCCATCATCATTCTTTCTACTAGTATGGGGAAAAAAAAATGGTCCTTGCCAAAATTCTCATCAATTTTTTATGGGTTACACTTTTTTTTGTTCAAAAATGGTGGATTTGTTGATGGTTGGTAGGTGGTTGTCTCATGTCTGGTTCTTTACGGCCTTGAATTATGTAATGCCACATGTTTGTAAGCTCCAAAATGTAAATGGGATCCGGTTTTCTACTTTCTTTGTGTCAATCGCAATCACACTTTTTTGCATCAATCGCACTTTTATTAGTAAAATGTCCCTAAATATGTTATTAATACATGTTTTCAAGGACTGGACTATAACCTTGCAAGTAACTAAAAGGGTTAAAAAGAATAGGGGTTCACTATTGAATGTCATAGTTTTGTTAACACTGAGTTCTTATTATAGTGTTTTAGACAATATATAATATTGTTTCAGAGATGGTTGATGTTAGTGGATAGAAATTGTGTTAGATGATCTCTACTCGCTCCGTCCCAGAAACCCTCTATTGTACCGTTTTAATTCAACAAAGCGAACTTTTCTTTGAGGGGGCTTAAAGCATATAACTAGAATTTCGATCACTAATCACAATCGACATCTCCAATCCAAGATGAATTTTTGCCTAAGATAAATAACCTAATGGATTCGAGTAAGCATAAAATGATTGTTTGATAGAGTATTTTGGATCGATAGACTTGGTTGATGTAGAAAGCTTAAGAGTTACATTAATTGTTGGTGATCTTGTCACATTATTGTAGGAAGCCCTGGTATCAAAGAGCAATGCAGATGGCCGCAGTATGGAAAGTTAGCATTACAACCACAACAACAACAACAACAAAAACTACAGATGACATTCCTTCAACCAATGCCAGTTTATGGAAAACAATCTCAAGATCAACCGAAATCTCACATTCGAGTTCCAACAGGCACAACAAGCTAAGGAAATGCACCTCTCTAAAGGTAGCCTCATCATTTACAAGAGTTTGTTTGTGCGCACCAATTTCTTCCTACAATGAAATCTTTCAAGCTGATGTTCCTCCTAGAAGAAGCAACAGCTATCCAAGGTCGAAACCGGTAGTACCAAGTACACAACAAGAGATTAGAACTCCTAGTGGAAGAATTAGTGTGGAAGGCAGGAAGATTTTTCGCGGGAAATCGCTAACGGATGATGTGTTGATGAGGAGATTTGTGATTGAAGAAGAAGCTATGATGCAGCTTAGAAGAAGGAATGAAATGGAGATTATTAGAAGGAGAAGTGCCATGAGAAGAAGGAAAATTGGCCCTAGTCCTCTAAGTAAAATGGTATTGGCTGAGGAAGAATACTGAAGATTAAGAAATTATTAGTAAGATTCTTCATGCAACATTAATCACTAAATATCTTCCAGCTTATTAGAATTTGCAATTTCTTTTCTTTTTATTTTAGAATTGCAATATCCTTATCCTTTTTCTTTGTATATTTTTTTTTTCTTTTTTTGTATATGTTAATCTTTTTCTTCAACTTTTTTTTTTTTTTGGCATTGCAATTGTGGAATATAAGGTTGTGAGTTTTTCTTTCCTTCGCGTAGAACAATATCTTTTCTTTTTTCCCATTTGATTCTCATTTTCAGATTTGTAAACCGATGCTTTTGGCAACAAATAGTTATTTCTACAATTGTTTGCTGAGAAAGAAACACAGTTTCAAATACTACCTCCGTCCAAAAAAATAGTCCACATTGAAAACTTAATGTGGACTACTTTTTTTGGGACTGAGGGAATATAATAAATGAAGATTACAATTAATTAAACATATTACTTTGAGGTTAACTTTGCGGATTTTCTTGACTACATATGCAGTTTCTTGCAAAAAAAAAAAAAAATAGTTTACATTATGATTAAATAAAGAAATCGTTCCGTGTATTCCGTATGACGTTGATGAGATTGCATACTCGTACCATACTGTTCTAGTGAAATGTACCAGGGATTGGGAATATACACATTTTTTGTGATTGAAAAAAATAATGTAAACATTTCTCTGTGTATCTCCTTTTTCTTTTTTTTTTTTTTTTTGGGTGTATTAATGTTACTTTAACACTGTAAGAATTTTTACTTTGTTAAAAATCGATGACTTCATGAAACAAAGATAATATTATTTTCCTTTCAGTACGATCAAAACAATTCATCCGATCCGCCGCCTATTGATTGGGTGAAGATTAACTCAGATGGTAGTTTATTCGTGAGACATTAATGGCGAGTACTGGAGGGGTGATTTGAGATTGGTGTGATAGATGGGCGAGAGGTTTCATGATGAATATAGACATCTGCTATATTATTGGAGCGGAGTTATCGGGCTTAATTACTGCAGGTTTTAACATTAGTATGGGAGAAGGGATACCGAAAGGTGATAGCGGAGGCTGATAATAGTAGCATTGTTGCAATGGTGAACGGTACGGAGGAGATATTTAGTATTTATACCAATTTTGTTGGGATTTGACAACTGTTCTCACGGGATTGGGAGGTCGAGTTCCGATATGAGTTAAGAGAGGCGAATTTTGTAGCAGATTATTGGCATCCTTAGCAACTAAAGGTGCAAGAGGATTGTAATGGCTCGATGATCCATCATCGGGTGTGTTACCTTGATTAGAGCATGATGTTATAGGGACAACGTATCTTGTAACGTTTATGTTTAGATGTAAGACTTTAGCCTCTCTTTATTGTAAAAAATAAAAAAATAAAAAAAATCCGGTGCTATTTATAAGATACAAAGAAAAATTTAAATTAGTTATTCTGTCTGAAATGATTGTCTAGTTTAAGTTTTTAATAATGTTGAGTGGAATACTTTAATTTATGGCTTATAAATTGGATCAAATTAAAGATGATCGATACTGTCGACGATCAATTTACTTTTAGTTGAGTTTCTTTTATAGATGATTGATTCAGCCTCATTTATTTATTATATAAAGGATTTAACAACTTCACAATTGAAGTCTGACGACAAATAAAGTTCCAAGAAATCTTTAGGCTAACTACCCTGTTTCTAAGGTCAACAAAAATTAACAAACTAATGAAGAGCCTATACTAAAAATGCAGTTCCAATTTTATAGATGATCATTATTTGCTTGCAAGGCACTCCACCAAATTAAGTTTATCATAATCAATATGGACTGAACTTGTTAGAGAAGAAATGTTGTTGAGTTATCAAAATCAGAGGTATTAGGAAATTATTGAGGTAGTTATGTAACTAGTAATGTCAGATCAACAGTACATCTTCTTGGCCAACCTTACCAACCCTTTTATTTTCATGAGTTAATCAATCAAATTACACTTTTATTAATCTTCTAGATTTGCAGTTTTATTATCTTTCTCGCATGAAGTTAATGAGTAGCAACCAATTAGCATCATGGTTTTCTTCCCCCATATTATTTACTAAATGCTCTGCTATAGGCACAGTCCGGATTGTTTATGGTTGACAGGTTTTGGATACAATGTCAACTAGAAAAACAAGAAGAGAAAACAAATATTAGCGCGAAGTTAATTGATACAAACTATTCCCTCCATTTCAAAATTTAGGTCACTTTAAACTCTGCACGTAAATTAAGAAGATAATTATTTAACAATTAATTTGTGTGTCAAATATCTAATTTACCCATTATTAATTGTTTTAGAATTATAATCAAGACTAGAAGAAAAGTAGTAAGCATCATTTATTGAAGGAGAAGTTAACCAATATTTTGCCTTGAAATTCTAAAAAGATCTATATTTTAAAATATTTCTCAAAACTTAAAACGACTTACATTTTAAAATTGAGGGAGTAGTAATGATACATTTAATGAAAATAATTCTTTGAAATTTATAATGAGTGATTTGGCTAAATAAAAAAACCGCACATTTAATCTTTGATCAGTTGTCCCACCCATCAAAGTATCTACAATTCACCAAGAAGTATTTATTGTCGACAGTAAACACAAAAAAAAAATATTATATTGAATGTGAACCTACATAAGGTGCAGATATGGATGTAATTTCATGGACAATAGTAGTTTTAAAAAGTTTCGTCAAAGAATATAATATGCACAAGAACATCTAAGTTTGTGAGCTAGTCTCATTTGTAATAGCAACTCCAAATCTCCATCGGTAAACTTGTTCACTTCCGTAAACTAACAAAAAGACCTATTCAGGCCTATAAACGAACCATTAGAGCTTCTCTTAGTACTTAAATTATTTCCAGTTAACTAGTATTAGTCATATTCACACCTGATTACTCACTACTCGTAGTAGTCGTAGTAGTAGTAATAATAAATTGAATCCAACTTCACATTTGGTTACACCAAAGTTCCGAAATGATGAATCCCACATCAAGAGATTGATAACTTGATATATACAACAAGAAACATGGCAATGGGGATTTTTTTTTGTAAAATTGAAAACACATTTCATTGTTACCAATCCAAGAATCCAACTTATTACGGGCTCCAACCTAACTTGAGGTGACAATATACACCCATGCATTAAAACTAAAGTTGACAATGAATGATAATAAGTTTAGAAAATCGTTCTTAATGTTTTAGACAGAGTAAATAAGAATTTGATTTTGGAACCGAGGAAGTAGAAGAAACCGATTTAATCGAGAAACATTCATGTGATCTTGATTAATTTGCCCGTCTTTGGGCAATAGAAAGGTCAAAGTCTGGAATCACCCTCTAGTCTTAATGCGTGTTGTTGAAGCAATAAAAATTCATTTCATAAGCTTATTAAGTTTGAAATATTATCTCATAGGATATGTTGTCTTCATGTAATTCGCAGATTGTGCCATTTGGTTTCTTATCACAATGTACTTTCCGTCATTCTCAGTATCTAAACTTTTTTTTTTTTTTTGGTACAAATCAGTAGCTAAACTCTAAGTCGCGAAAGGACTTGAAAACTAGTACTTCCTCTGTCCCAAAATTATTGTCCAGTTTGAGAATTCAATTTTAATACAATTTGAACTAAAAATGAAAACCTAAACTGAACAATAATTCTGGGACGGAGGGAGTACGTAATAATAAAGAAAACTTTGAGATTGCGACATTTAATGATCAAAAAATTAATTGAGGAATTTCAAGTTCAGTTCAGGTGTACGAAACCTTAACATACATTAATTTCAACATCTACATCATCTTTATCTGAAAACAAAGTCAACTTTGATAACACCGTGATCATGTTTAAGTTTCATCCTTTCCTAACACAATGAGATTTTTGAAACCCTCGGAAATTTTTATGATTTTTCGTAAAGTTCAATAGCGATTCCACTAGAATGTACTTCGTTTACGTGACTTTTAAATGAAAAATATAATAGTATCTCACTATAATAAAATTCATACAGTGCAACTCTATTTTTTTTTTAAACTAGAGATTCGTCTTGCCGATCAATGTTTCATTTGAATCTGACATCAGATAGTTAGATTTATAAAATAGTACCAAATTACTGTATCATACAACAGCTATTTATCATTAATTTAAAGCTCTAATTAGTAGAATGCGAACAGCAATATACAAAATGTTGCGGAAAGAATGATGCATGTAATGAATGTCAATATTGTGCACCAGTAGAAGAGGAAGGGAAAAAAAAAGGACAAAAATAAATTAGGGCAGGATAGGTCTTGTCAATTTAATGCATCAGAAGAATTTGAACATTTATATCTCCATTTGTCGTTTATTCTTTTTAGCTGATAATTAAAAATGTAAGGCCAAACACGCAGCGAAATGCTTTGCTCAATTCGGCACAACGACGGGATGTTTCAATTGCCAACTTGACAAGCAACATACATGCACTCGTACGGGTGATAAAATGCAGATCGTCTTAACCATGATTAGGGTTTGAATTTTTCAAATAGACATGTATGTGGTAATGACTAAGATTATTTCCTCAGTCCTGCAAAACAATAATTTCATTTTATAAAACGAAAACAATATAATTAAAAATTTATTCCCTCTGTCCCAAAATTATTGTCCAGTTTGAGATTTTATTTTTAGTATAAATTGAACTAAAAATGAAAACTCAAACTGGACAATAATTATGGGACAGAGGGAGTACTTTTTTAGAATACAAAGAGCCAGAGTGTATATTTGTTAAAAGATGTTTGATTTCTGGAAAGGATTTTACCTAACAAAAAACAAGAGTTATTGGTTTCAAAACATCATGTGGAATAATAAAAAAAAATATAATGATAATAATTTCAATAATTTATGAACAAATTAAATGTGTATCTTAATTTATGAACTTCCTATCTTTAATTACTAGGTACACTATTTTCTATAATTCTTAATTTTTTTTTTTTGCTTCAATCAAGAGAATTTTCATTGTCTGTCAGATCTTTTCAATATTCAAAATCTGTTCAACAGTTGTTTCAGTATTCAACAACAATTAATGGCTGTCTTTTAGAATGACTAACTCCCCCGATTTTACATGAAAAATCAACAGTTTAGTTGATAAATACGACTCAATCACAAACATAATTGTTAAATTGAAACGTTATCGTTCCGAATATAGAAAGACTTCGTCGTTTCTATTCCGCGTATCGCTTTTTGGAACGTTCAAAA